TGGACATAAAGACTATTAAGCAGTGTCAGAGCAAGAAGGGCAGTCTGACAGATATTTTGAGCACAGAGAGAATGTGATAGATGTTCTGTCCAGATGAGAAAACCTATGGGAGGAAGCATTGATGAACAAAAGTTTTCACATGTTGTGTCAGACCCTGGAGATTCCCAGCCTCCTCCAGTTTCTCAGAAAAGGTCATTACCAGTTTTGCAAACTTTGAAAAGAAATATTTCTCCACAATCTTCTTTTCCTATTATCTCATTAAGCTGGTGTATTCATAAAAGAACTCATCATCCCCAATGGCATGGAAAGCATTGGTGATGATGTCAGACAGCAGAAATGTGCTTGATGAACTTTCTGCACTTATCAGTCTAGACTGATTCTAACTCAGTTAAACAGAATGGATTTTAATTATCCAACAGACTCTAGCAAGATTATGGCGAGAAAATTAATGGATAGTGCAGAAAAATTGTGGTAAAAAAATTTTGTAATTTCTGCTCTGCTGCAGATGGATAATGCAGGATACTTGATTTCTAGGATCAGTCTTGTTTAGTAAATGGAGACTACAAATGAACAAGTTACTACAGACTTGTTTTGTGAACACATTCAGTGGACAAACACAAAAGATATGAAACAGTGCTCATAGCCTCTAGAACTGATATAATTTTTATTCCTAAGACTTACATGCAGCACTGCATCAGTTGTGATGCAAATGTATTTTTGTTGTGATGAAGAAAGAGCTATTATATTTTCAAATTACACTTTGTATCACTTTTTTCATGTAGATACATTAAATTTCTTTTATACTACTAACAATACCCTAGACTAAAATGGTGCTATTTTACAGAGAAGTCTGATGGGCAGCCTTGGTCCTAGAGGAGACTCTGACAACTATGCTGAAGAGTTTCATTTCACCCTTCCTCCAAGCAGTTGCCTCTGGATTTTTTCTTTTTCTTCTCAGGATCCACACTATTGTTAATGAGGCAACAGCATATGTAGAAATGGCTCTTCTGTGGGATGCAGGTGTGAATGGCAAGAAACTGTGTTGAAAGAAAGATGTAACGCACAGTGATAAAGCAAAAACTCAACAAAGCTACTGAATTTGAAGATATTTAATCCCTTGAAGTTTTTTTTGACAAACACATGAAAGTGTAGGTTTACAATGGAACAAGAAAACACAGGCAGAAAAGAAAAAAAAAAGCAGAAAATAAAAAGAAACTAAAAATTCCTGGGGAAATCTAAAAAAGACAATAATTTATGAGTAACTACAGAAAAGTCCATAACTTGGTATTTTTTACGGATTATAAGGTAAGCATATGCAAGATTCACTAAGAAAAGTATAAAATTAACATCTTGCTGTTTTACTGCTCCCTTGTAGATATTATTGTTTATATTTTATGGGTTATGATATAATTTTCATCTTTGGATACCTTTCAAAGAAATACAGATTATTGTTGTTATTCTTAAACCATACCAAAACAAAACAATTACTCTGCTATTTAGTGCAGAAAGTGAATATTACATGCTACAACTTCAAGTGAAATAAACAGGCAATTTGACAGATGTGCTCAAAACTAATAGTTCTTGTAAGACTTCTAAGTAGGGTGATCTCAAACTGTCCAAACTAGTGATAGCATTTAAAGTACCAGCAACAGAAGTGGTAAAAAAAAAAGACAAGTGAAGAAAACAAATTTATCGAAAACCATTCTATTAAAGGAGCAGGAAGCATATAGAACAAGTTGTTTAGTAAAGACAGCTGACTAAGGTAGCTTAAGTAAGCTTAAGTGACAGCTAGATATTCCCATGCAGAAAGTGGCTTGGATGTCACAGCAAGAGAGTATAAGGCTGAGTAAAACTCAAGTGGGATGTGCTTATTGTAACACAAGACTTACTGTCATGATAATTTTTACAGTTTGGGGGGTGTTTCTGCATTCCTTCTATTAAGGCCATTCCATAAGCATTTCATTAATTATGAAATTAATTATATCTAATTTGCATAGTCTTTCTCATTTGTGAAAATGTTTAAAATCACAACCAGAAAAAAACTTGCTATCTGGATATATTTTCCTTGAAATCAACTATTTCAATAGTAAACTGACAGGCTCTATCATTCACTGTTTCCATTAATTAAATTAAAATCATAAAGTAAGCTTAATTGCTTCCCATCTCATGCTGAAATCAGAAGACATCCTGTCTACAAAATTATTTTTTCATAAAATTTCCTACTTCTCTGTTACTTCTTCTGAGAGAAGCACAATTGCTGTAGTGCTACCAATATACTTTTTATCTCAGTATGGCCTTTTAATTTTCAACCATCTGGGGTAGAGTTACTCAAAATTGTAGTCAAAACACTGGAAAAACTAGAATTCTTATTACTGCCATGGGTAGAATTGGATGCATAACAACAGTGTTTGGAATTATGCAAAGAATGTGTCAAACTTAAACTTAACTAATTTTTAAATTATTCTCACATCAAGATCCTGACTTCACAGTTAATCCAGATACTTTTTCAATAATTTCATATGACTTAATTATAAGTGTTGTTCTAATAGCAGAAGCTAAAAGACAATAATCAAGCCTAGAACTTGGCTACAAAATAGTGAATTCCCTTCCCTGCATACAACCCAGAAGGATGACAGAACCACAACTTCTGATATTGCTTCAGGCATTGCTGGAGACAATTGTTTCTAGCAAGCTCTCCATTTCCTGTTCCCAGAAAACAATTTTTCTCTAAAGAAAAATTCAATTTTTTTTCTATCCTAATCACATATATCATATTTCTTACCCTCCTTCAACTTGGCTTATGACTAGAGAAAACAATTTTATTTATCTTCTTTCAAAAGAGAAATATTACCTTGGGCTAAGAATCCTAATCATACTAAGCTCAATGACAAGTAATCATTGATTTCATTGGGAACAACACATAGCACCACATTTATTACTGCAATGACCTGAAATCCCATAAGGTGCTTGATGCAGGTTCAGTTTTCATAATATAACAATGATTTTATTATAGCACACTAGAGATGGAAGAGTTCATTCAAGCAAACAAAATTTATATCATTACTATGTGTAATTATATTTGGAGGGAAGAAAAAATTTTTTTTTAAAAAAGGGAAAAATTTGTTTGTCTCTCTATCCCCATTATTTTATTTTATTTTCTGCAGCAAAGAAATTCGTATAAACAGCCACTGCTGTAGCTCAGTGGCTGACAATACTTAATGTTCACAATTCACTATATGTTTCATAAGAACATGAGGAATTCATCTGAGCGATTGGAAAAAAATTTCTTGATGAATTGGGCAGCTCAACTAAGTATAATGACAAATGTAAACCTGCATATAACTCTTTGCATTATAATGAAATTAAGCAATGGGAATGGTTGGCTTAATGTGCTTACTAGATTGCATATATTTTGACCAGAATTGGGTTGATACTGCTGGACAAACTGCAGTATTATGAACACTGGCCATACAATCCTTTACTGAAAAAACACGCAATTTTAATCTGAATACTAGATCGTTTCCTAGTGAAATTTTAAAAATTTTAAAGCACTTTCATGGCTGTACTTGATAGATGGAAATCCAGAATTTTTGTCTTCATATCACGCAAAACTGAGAGAATAAGACATATGCTCAAATAGTTTCTTTAAAAAAAATCCTGCACTGCATCTTTATACAGATCAATGTCCAATTATAAGCAGAGAGTTGCTGTGGCAAAAGGTCAGGAAAAAATAATCTTTCCGGCATTTATTACTTGGAAAATAAGGTCACATATGAGGTCAACCTCCAAATGTATACAGAATAAATTATACTGCAGCATTCTAAATATTCTGTACTGCAAAAAATTATACTGCAATCTCAACATAATCAGAAAAATGAAGTTGAACATGTATTTCCTGTCGACTGTACTACAGATCAGACTAAGCTAAGAGGAGAAAAACCCAGGTCCAATTAATTAACAATTAATAAAAACCTTATCATATATTTCTGCTTAATTAAAAATATAAGTTCTTATTAAGGCTGACTGATTTAATAATTTCCTAACTATCTTTAACACTGTAACATCCTCCCCACAACAAAGTAAAATAATAGAAAACACACAAAACATTTAAAACTCATTCAGTGATACACTTGTATATTGCTTACAGCATAGAAGAAAAACATAAAGGCAGAAAATGCTGGAGTGCTTTGTCTGTCTGATTCTCTAAAAAAAAAGAAGTGTATCTTTTGAAATAAAAGACCTCCTAATTAGACAAAACACATCTGAAAAAAAAATAGAATTGGACACAGTTTGAGGAAATAAATATGCTTGTTTGTCAGAATGAATGCTGACATGTCAGCATGAATGAATGCTGACGATGTTCTCTGTCAGAGAACATCGTCATTGTCCTGATCTAAGTAATTTTGCTCTTTCACAGACAGTCTTAATCTTTGCTACTTTCCTGGGATGTAAATGAAAGTATACTGAAAATAAGATTGTATTAGTATACGACACTTCTCACGGTACTCTTAATTGTGAAATCAACATTACAAATAGGAAAATGCACCCATGAAATGAAAACATCTTCTGATTCATTTTTACTCTTGTCTTTTATGCGAAGCACTTTCTTTTCCTTTTCTCCAAACTACATGAGGAATATAAATGACTGGTGTTCTTTTATCTGTTACAGTCATGTCTAGTTCGAATTTCCAAATCATGCTTTGACAGAAGGATTGTATACAATATATCACAGGCAATGCCAGTAGAGATAGAGTATATTCTAATCATTTTCAAAAGTACTATTTTTTTTTTAATCTGCTTTGGACACTTGTGGTTTCATTTCATGTTCATTCTGAAAGATACTGTGTTCTTTGCTCTGGGCTAGTGACAAGATTTACTGTTTTCTCTGATAATATTATCAGTGGGCTATTCCTCCCTGATAAACCACAACTGCAATACTAATAGGTTGATAATGACGTTATAAACTTTATGCTTTTGTAGGCATTGTAGGCATCACTCACCTTGTTCAAGTGGCTGGCTTTTAGTTGAAGTAGTTTTCATCTTGAGTGCCTCCCTAACAGACATGTCACAGCAGGAGCCTTTGTTAGTGTCTTGGTCACTGTCAGCCTGATCACTGTCCCCATGCCCGCTGTCCCTCAAGCTGGCTCTTTCTGGATCCTTGAACGTGGAGCTACTGAAATACATATTGAAAAAAAAAAATAAAAAAAAAAAAGAAAAAAGAGAGAGAGAGAGAGTGTTGTATTTACTTGTTCTAAGTTGAATTGTACTCTCTGGCAAAGCAATTTTGACAAGAATGCAAATGGGGAAGCCAAGAAAGTTATTTAATAGGCCTTACCTTTGAACAAACTGCTGCCTGCTGCCCATGTAATTGGGCTCTGCGGGAAAATTGTCTGTCTGTGAAAGAGAAGGAAAGAAATACGTATAGTTGTACACTGGACAAATCTCCTGCAGAGCAACAAGATTTCCTAGAGGAGAAATGATTAATAATTCAAAAATTCCCTTAATCTTCAGATTTGTACATTTTAATTAAATTGGAAAATGCTGGCATGTAATTATGTGCTCAGAACAATTAAATGATTCCGGTCCACAAATTACCTGCTAAAGTAAACAATGAAGCTCCAATAAGTGGCATTCTCTGTTAGTAACCTGACAGATGACACTGTTTATGTTTTTTCATTAGATAGATATTAAGACTGATGGTTATTGAAAATGAGAGAAAAAATAACTCTTGCATATTAAAAAAGTGAATTATTCAATAATACTAATTTTTAATCATAATTACATCATCTACTGGGATTCTGAAACTCTTACTGCTGTAATACAGTTTTGTGTGCTGCTATATTACACTTGACTTGAAAAAATAAACAAAAAATCAAGAAAATTTATGGCTGATTAGCTGTGGGGTTTCTCAGATGCTACTGGAAAAATGCAAGTATGAAAATATTTGGATTTTTCTCTCTTTAATTTTCATCAGTATTAATATCTATGTCAGAATAATGAGAACCACACATGCAAACGAGAATATTGAATGATCACTGCTGACAAGTAGTTTTTAAAAGAAGATACTTTCATTAAGTGTCTGTCATGTATCTTTTTAGCAGCATGAGCCAAGTAACTGTAGAAGCAGAAGTATTAAAAGGATCCAGACCAACATGGAGTCTTGCCAAAGGGAACTGAATTCCCCTTGTATCATTAGCTGAAGTTCTTTGGGAGAAAGAGAGACTGCATCATTCAGAAAACTCCGCATACTGTACATTCACGCACGTCACTTCTTCTTGCAGCTGACCTAGCGACAGAGCTTCTACTGTTTTCTGCATCACTTCACATCACACCACTCTGCTCCGCAGCAGCTCCGGCTGTCGCAGCAGCATCCATCGGATCAGTATCCGTAACATGGGCAGCACTCAATTAATGCAGCTGAGGGCCTGAGGTTTAATGTCACACAGCAAGTACTTACACAGGTGACTGGGATCTTAGATATTTGGATTTCCCTGCCACTCCCCACACCATTTTTTTATCTGTGTTTTTCTTTTATCAGTAGGAGGTAATTAGACATATTTGCTACTTCTTGTATGGGTGGAGTATTTGAGCTTGGAAAAGAGGCAAAAGGTTTTATCCAAAATTTAGGTCACTGCTGTTTGCAACAGAAATTGGGCAGACACCTGTTACTCCCAAGAGACTTGTGAAATAGATGTGCTTGTATACCACGGATGTCTTTTGTGCTTTAGAGAATGGATGGAAAATATAGAACCATCTTCTGTTCAGCATGTATGACAATGTACACTGCACTTTCTTCTGGTTTCTAAGTCTTTTCATTCAAAAAATAAGATTATAACACATACTATGTTCACATCCATCCTAGCTTTAGTATATGCAATAAGAATAAAAGTTCATCTTCACATTTAGTGTTTATCAAGTTAGAAAAACAAATATTGGAAACAACAAAAAAAGGGGGTATATTTCAGCATTCTTATGTGTATCTCTCAAATGCAGCACATCATATTTTGGAAGCAGCTCTTCTGCTGTTTCACTTCTTCTCACAAGTTTTAAGCTAGTATCTTTCTTTTGTGCAGCAAACAGAGAGATCTATATATACTCATATACAATCATTATGGCACTTACAGAACCCAGTACTTATCAATCTGAATAAAAACCTTTACAACTGCAGGACTCGTGTCTCTTTTCTATGTCTAATATCTCAAATAGAGATATCCAGGGAAACTGACCTTATGCTTTTACTTACGTAAGACATCTGTCTCCTCCTAAACACAGCTGCTACCAGAATCAACATTTCCATTTTTCGTGACATTGGCAGTCAAAATGCCTGCTATAAACTGCTTTTTTATTAATTCGCTGCCATTAAAAGTCAGACTTTTGCCCTGAAAATAATTATAACTCCTCCTTTTTGATGGTTCTAAGAACTTAACTGTAAACTGGACCACTGTAAGAACCGGTCATACTTTTTGTCTCTGCTTTTTCATAGCAAAAAAGCATTTCATACATCCTGGATGAGCTGATATACAGATATTAAAATAGAAGACATGACCACATCTTAGCTGCTGAGAAATTCTGCATTTATGGTCAACATTAAAAATCTTTAACTAGCTAATAATTTGACCAATTACCTTCATACTGTATTTTGCCTCAAGACAATGAATTGGGTGCCAGGTTACAGTAAGTTCATTATTACAAAAGAAGAAATGTAAGTACTTGATGATCATATACAGACACAGAGCTCAGAGTTGAATACTGCTCTTTCTGCACTAAAAGCATTAGCCCTTCTTCTACGACTTATGAAGGTATGATGCTTGTGTTGAGCTGTAACAGCCCTCTGAGATACAGGCAGCAAAGGGAGGATTGTTTCATGTATGAAAATATCTATTAAAATTGTGATAAATTAAAAAAAATAATTGTAAGGTTTGACAGTTTTGAGGAATCCTAGAAACGTAAATATCTACTTCACAATGGATTAGAGAGACAAATGTCTAACATGTCTAACTCCTTTAAAATCTTTTTTTTTTTGTTTTAATCCCAGTTGAAGTGAGAGGTCATATACTTAAAATTTTTACACTTTAACATTTATGGAAGTGATATTACACATTCCAGCTCATGCATTAATCATACTTCTTTAAATTGCATAGCTATAACTCAAAGAAACAAATACTACCTAAAAAATCTAAAAAACCTCTTGTTCTTCTCTGTATATTTAGCCCTTTCTAGGACAAAAAAAAATCACCAAAATACTGAGCTTCCAGTTTTAAGGTAGGTTACACTTCACCTGCTGAAAACCACCTAAAATCGAGTCGGCTACTCTAGCTAATCAGCCAAGATCCCTCAATGTGCCTTCGAGAAGTACAAACTATCTCTTTGGTCATCTAGGGTTAGGTACCTGATACTCCTGGGGAGCATTATTGGCATAGGGGAATCTTGACAACCAGCAAGATGTCCAGTGCAATAGCTAAAGCTAAGTAAGAAACATCAGGTCAGAAGTGAATTGTCTAGAATTGCAGTCTGCTGCTAAATAACAAAAAATTATTCAAATGCCAGCATCATTAACCTCCTGCAGAACAAAATAAAACAAATTCCTTCGTTCTCACCCTCCCTCCAAAAACATCTCCAGGAACAATCTGTCTCTAAAAGTCACCAGAGTTAAACAGTAAAGAAATGTGAAATTTTTTATCTCTGTGATTCAAGACTGAGGGCTGGAGTATCAATTAAATCACCAGCAGCTACCACAGCACAGGTTCTGCAGTAGCAGGAAAAATGTTATCTAAAACTAAAAAAAAAAAAGCAGGAATGTCCACTGCCATCAGAAAACTAAAGTCTGTGATATCAACCTAACTGTCCAAAGCCACCTTAGAGAAGTGGCCCTGGTTTTATGTGTCATTTTCACAGATTAGTGGAATCAGATAATTTCCAATGAAAGTATGGTATAAACCATTCAACAGATACTCTTTTTTGACAGTTGCTATAACAGACCTTTACAAATATTTTCTTCTACCTGTCTGTTCTAATATGTGACTCTGGATCAAATATGAAATTTTAGGAACACTGTCATTAGTGTAATGTTGCAGAAAAATGTCTGAGAATTTCTGTACAAGCATTTGATACATCTTTCTAAGAAGTTGAAGCTCATTTAAAAAAAAGCCATTTAAAAAGAGGTCAGAATGCAAAGGAACCTTTCAAAAGCTGCAAAAATTTTAAAAGAAAGGGTTACTTACTTTCAGAAAATATCATACAGTTTGATTTTGTTACTTTTTACTTCAGTGAATTGAGGAGAAGGAAAATAAAAGAAGAGGAAAATTCAACCTGTGCAAAATATACTTTTCACAGAATCATAGAACATTTTGGGTTGGAAGAGACCTTAAATTTCATCTAGCTCCACACATTCTCTCCCCACCATGGGTAGGGATACCTTCCACCAGTTCAGGTTGCTCAAAGACCCATCCAGCTTGGCGTTGAATACCTCCAGGAATGGGGCACCCACAACTTCCCTAGGCAACTTGAGCTGGTTGGATTTACTGGTATGAAATTTCAAATGCGACAATGCAATTGCTTAAATCCAATAAAGGGACTTTGAAAATCATTAACTGGCCAGTGTTTTCATGAACAACACATAGAATCTCTTTCCAAGTGCATTAACTGTCGACAAAACTATTCAGTTTATTGCACCTGTCAGGACTTTTATATTATGACCACGCAAGGGCCTAGATAAAATGAAATTGTTGCCAAGTATAGGTCTTGCATGGTGTATTTGGAATACTAAATTTTATAGACTCAGAAATAAAACCATTCAAAAGTTTGAAAGTCAAGTGTTAAGTTTCTACTAATTAATTCTGGAATGGTTATGGCTTCCAAAAGTTTAATTTAGAGAAAGGAAAATGAAAAATTATAGCCAAGAACAGAGTATGAGAAACAAATTCTTCATAGGATCCATTAACCTTAAATAAACTCATAAGAAAAAAAAACAGTAAAAACTTCATCACTGGAAACAGCTTGAACCAGCCTGGGCCAAGCATTACACAATGAATTATAGAGAATATTTTTAGCAATGGGCTATATTCATCTCTTATCCCTTTTTTATCTTTTCATAAATTCATATTCACAAGGTATATGTGTTTACTTCTGTTGAAATATTATGCTATTTTTTTTAAATACAAAGGAGTTCTACTGTGGCTCTGCACACACTGGTTTGTTTGTTTTTTTTTTTTAATTCAGGATTAAAATTACAGCACTGTATTAATCAATCAGGTTTCAAAAATTCTGCTATTGCTCAGTAAGAGAGTAGACAACTCCACAAATCTTCTGCTTTCAAGAAGTGCTGCAAAAAGCAAACTGTTTCTTAAAAATTAGAGGTTCCTCACTATTTTTCTCTTTCTCTTTACTTTTAAATA